AAAGGGGGGAAAAAAAGCAAGAGTGGCTAATAAGCACCCCTACCCCCACCTCCCTGGTACAAGCTGAAGATAGAGCGACCTGGTCACTTGGGACAGATATCAAAGAGAGTCAGGGGGGCTGTTATCTGGAGGTGCAGTGACAGACCCCTGCTGCTGCCGTCCCTCTCATTAGTCCCCCTTCCTCCCTCCTTCCACTGCTTCTCATCCTCCCATCTTCAACACTTGTCACCGTGCTGTCAGCTGCCTGCTCAACTGTAGACACAGGACCAGCCTGGGGACCGGATGGAGGCATGGATGGAGAGAAAGATGGTGCAAAAGAATACAAAAGAAAGGTTTTGAGGTGTAAGCCAGGCTTGTCAGCCGAAGCAAACAACAGAAGAGATCCATTTCTATGAACTCTAATCCGTTCCTGTAAATGTCTTATTTCTCCTAGCACAGTCTGAGTACAAAGAAAACCTGGAGCAGAAAGACTCCTCTCTCAAGCCTGTCAATTCACCCGATACGACTGCAGAGAGACAGTGAGGGAAAAAGAAAAATAGAGAGGAAGGAAGAGAAACAGCTATGGCAGCAACCTGGTGTCCTGCCAGGAAACACGGCAGGGTTCGATCCACCAGTGACAGACGAGACACGAGCCAGGCGGCAGACTGGGACGGCTGAATGCAGCTCATTATGTGTGTGATTATGAGGACCGAATACACAAATGCCAGTCATGTAAGGAGCTGGTTTGGGATTGTTGAGTGTAAGGTTGCAGGAAAAAAGGTTGCAATGCAAGATTTAAACAAACAGACGTCTATTAGTCAATTATCTTGCATTTCTTGGCCCGTTTCTGGATTTTTCTCTCTTACCACAGCAGCAGGACAAGTTTCTATGATCTAAAACAGCACGTCAGGTTTTGGTGTCAGTTCCTTGGAATCAAAGAGCTTTTTTTTAGAGCCGCCATTTTACTTTTGCACTGATTTTCAACAATCATGCAGAGAGAAATCCATCAGGAGGAACAGAGACAGATTTTTCTTCTTACTTAATCGTTAATCCAATTCATGCTTAAAAATAATATGGTTTTATCCTTCTTGAAATTTGTCATAGGCATAGCTTATTTCTTATACCAGTAATAGTGATACTGCCTGGTTTAGATAAACAGTTTGACAGCATTTCCCATCTTTGCTGACTTTTGTGAAAAGGAATTAAACATCTGCATATAGACGCCTATATGATTTCTGATTCTGAGTCTGGGTAAAGGTAAACAGAGAAATTAAGCCTCTAGATTATGTCTCTGCGACAACTTGTGCTGCTTGTCTCACTTCCATGCTTTTAATATTGAGCGCTGCCACTCTCCAGAAAAAGCAGCAAATTCACACCCTCCCTCGTTCAGCTGGAAATCATTCTTGGAAATGTAGGAAAGAGAAGTACATAAACTCCTCATCATTAAGCGACTCCCAGGGAGACATAGGGAAACTTTAAATAGAAGAATCCACTGAAGGATTTTTTGGGACTTGTTACATAAAGTTTTGGTTCTTGGAGGAAAGGGTTTGGTTCAGAAGAACGAACTGTGTGTGTATGTGAGTTTCAGGATGTTGCAGGAGACAGATAAGTGCAGCAACAGAGGGATTATCAGTTGATGACTCCCTGTAGAACTCAAAGACATCCTCCGCTGCAGTACTGTCGTATTTCTCCACTCGGGGCTTATTTTATGACTTGTTTGTAACAGACACTCACAATAATCCAAACCTGGAGGTGTGAAGTTAATGCTTAAAAATAGTCTGACTGCATCTCTCTTTCTCTAGTAGTTCTCACTTTGTTTTCACACAGCTGTGCTCATTGCTCCGCAACACACTCACCTGCAGTGGGTCAATAATCTCATGTGGTTGGTTGCAGTCTGTTTCTTTGTCCTGTGTGGGATGCATCTTGTGGTTTCAAGACCGGCAAGCTCAGAACAAACAAACCTCTATCTGCTTTGAGTATTCTGGTTACTTCTTGCAGAGGTGTATTCGGCTGTATTCGGCTAAACTACAAATGGCCCACATTCAGTCTTACTATTACAGCACCAGCCTGGTTCAGAAGGTTCAATGTCCAACAGAGTCTCATCAATACATCTTTAATGTGTGTCACCCTGACTCTTTGAAATTGTGACAAGGTATTCCTTGTGGCTGAGAAACTATTCTTAAGGTTAAATATTCTTTTTTGCAAAACATTTTATAACTGTTGCTCAGCAACTCTCTCTGCAGCTTAGTAGTATTTCAAAGATCAAACCGCTGCTATCCTCTGCTGACTTATAGAAGGTCGTTCGTGTAATTAGCTGCTCTTGGCTCACTCGGGTGTCTTGTTCAGAATACCAGCAAGGCTCCACTCTGGTGCAAAATTTAGAAATGATCACTTTCAGTTTTACCCTCCCTGCAGTGGCTAGCTGTCAATATTGGAATCAGTTTCAACGGTTTGGTTAGTTTGAAGTGCAGAGAAAACAATTGGAGAGGCGAGCTTGTAATTAGGACCTCCCTGTCCAGTAATTAGAATTAGAATTATGATAATTATGAGATACGAATCTTGTAAATATGTTAAGTCATTACAAGATATGGAAGTCATAATTATCAATATTTTCTTTGGTTGATTCTTTGCGTTTCTGTATTATTATTTTCAACCAAACCGTAAAATGGTCTAATGGCAGCTGCACTGCGCTACAGCATGTTCAGGACCTCTTTAAGAACAGTAGAGATCTCTGCACTCTGTAGTCCTTTTGATCATCACTCAGTAACAGCTACATTTGGTGTGCACTGTTATGCATTTGTTAGTGACCAACTGTAATGTGTAACACTGGAACATCAGTAATTTAGAGTACTGCATGAGGCAGAGGGACGCAGCAGTGTGAAAAAAGAACAGGCCCATTATTTTCTGCATCCGTACTGTTCATGTTAGGAGAATCAAACCAGATCTAAAAATAATTGCAGCATGAAACAGAAGAAGTCTGAGGCTTGTTATTCACTCCGTTATGAAAAAACTAAAGTTATAATAAACTTAAACTGGCTCAGCTGGAAATTTGCAAAGGAAAAACTTCCTCTGACACCTGTAACAGCTGTATCAGCAACTGTGAGCATCAGAGCCATGACTTAAATAAAGACATCTTGATTTTTACTGTTTTTTTCAAGGGGGTTTGTGGTCCTGAATATTGGAGTAGGGTCATTGCCCTGTGTCTTTTTGATGTGGGCAAGTTGGCCAGGGTGTGAGCAAAGGCAGTGTGTACTCTGTTTTTCTCACATTCTGTCACCTGCATCATTTAAAACTATACTCCAACAAAAGCCTGTTTTGAGTATCAACCACTTTCTGCTCTGAAAGGTTTGCTGCTTCTAAGCTGTTTTCCTTCGTCGCATGCAACATGTTTGCTTGTTGTGTTCGTTGCCTTTCCAGCATAAATTTCGGCATTAATCAACAGGACATAGTGTTTTTGATGAATGTTCCTTTCTAACCTTGTGAGGCAGCAAGATCACAAAATCACGCAAGAAATTCATCTCTTGTTTGTTGGTGTGATTGTTTGAATTTTGACTAACAGATGCTTCATCCAATCACCTGCAGAATATTTTTTGGAAGTACCTGCCCTTTTTCGAACAACAAATTCATGTTCTTGCTGATTTTTAGGGGTTGCGTGACTCCAATCATAAACTGCATATAAGTTATCTAGTGTCTATTCCTCTGTATTTACTGGTTGTCAATACGTGCTGCTTTCAGACTGGCAGAACCGTAGTAGAGTACACTGCAGGAGTGGTTTGAGAAGTTTCTCTGAATGTTTTGATATTTTATCCACACTGACTTGTCCATCCAACTGCTGTAAATCCAATCTGACTACAGCCACGATCTTCCTCGGAGCAGCAAGCTCAAAACTTCACAGAATCACCTTCCAAGCCTACAGGCGGTGAGTTGCAGTGGAATACCCCTTTTTTTCATTAAAGTGTGTATGTGCTGTCAGAGTGTGTGTGTGTATGTATGTGTGATATTGTGCGATCTAGATATGGGCCAAAGTCTTATAACTGCTGGTTTCTTTGTTTGCTGTCTCCACATCAGGAGCCACATTCAGTCTTAAATAAAAGAGGGCAGAAGCAGCTGGATGCAGGCACACAAACACACACAGATGCTGTAAATAACACAAGCATATGCCCCTCACAAATGTGTAATCTGCACACACTCTGAGTCAGAAGATGAATCTGTAGCCTGCAGCCGCCGTTTGTTACACTGATGTGGATTAAGATACTGTATCTGCAGACAAAAGGAGTCAACCTCCTCAAATGAGATCTCATCACCTCAGTCTTGTTTCACAGCCTCCTGCTGCCACGGGGCTTTCCGGTATCTCCAACACAGATAATAACAGATAAATAAACCATAGGATATCCATGCATACGGCTTCTGCCACGCTGCAGCCTACTGTGGCAAGATGCTACAAACAAGACAAAGCAAGTGTGGCACAGCTGAGCTTATAAAATATGCAGGGTGTCCCTTTGCTCTCCTCTCACACAGTGCATTATATCAGTCCAGCTATCACATTTGATATTAACACTGTGAATACATTACAGTATATACATTCCTCCCTCTGCCACTGTTGAGGTATCGCTGTTTCTGGAGATCAGTGCGGATAAATAATGCATGCTGCTCAGACGCGGCACGACTGCTGAACAAACACACACACACACAGTATAGTGCTTTTCCACCAGCACTCGCAGAGCATGCAACACTTAAGGAAAGCACCCATTAATTTTACAGCAACACTTACAACCCCAATTTGTGTTGAGAGTTTATCTGTAAAATGACACTCTTGCATTGGACAAACACACTCTGGACTCTTTCTCTTTGTTGACATTCATCCCTCAAAACCCCCACTGATGCACCGGTGTTCTCGCTGCATGCCTGCACACTCACAACTTCTCTTAGTTAAGCGTTTCACCTTCACAACAGAATGTCAGCGTTCTATCACACCATGCAAAAAGGTTTACAGAGGTGAATCTGAAGGAGAGTTGTCTCACCTGTGTGGTATCTTCTGTCCTGGCTGTGTGTGAAGCGCAAAGCTGAAACTTCTGTCTCACCAGCACTGTTGGATAAATCTCCCCTCCCCTCTTTACACTCTCTCTCCCTCTCTCTCTCTCTATGCCCCCCTCCCCTCTCTCTCAATCTGCTCTCTCCCACCCTCCTTGCTCTTTTTTTCCTGTCACTCGCTGTTTTTTCTCCATCTGCCTCTTTCTCCCTCCTTCAGTGTCTTCCCTCAACCTGCTGCTGTCTTTGAAGCTGCATTAGGCAAACCCCCCCCCAACATCCACCTGTTTTACGGGACATTTTTACACACACCACACACACACACAAACGCACAATATGTATATGCTCAGGGAGGTTGTGATGTGATAAGGAGGTTTTGGAGGTGCAATGCGCACCACTGCAGTGGAGCTGCTGGTGAGATGCACTCAGATATGATGCTCTGTTAACCTAAATCCTAGTGTGTGTATGTGCATGTATGTG